CTTTTCGCTTCGGTAGGGCCCGCTGGGCTCCGGAGCCGGCCCGAAAGCGGGGCTCTCCTCAGCCTCCTCCGCGGGGTCGCTGCCCTCGTCCAGGTTGGGGTAGGCGAGGTCCCCGTCGGGGTGTTCTTTGTACTGGGTTTGCCTCTTGTGCTTCATCCGGCGGTTCTGGAACCAGACCTTGACCTGCCGCTCGGTGAGGTCGAGCAGAGCCGCGATCTCCACCCGCCGGGGCCTGCAGAGGTATTTGTTGAAGTGAAATTCCTTCTCCAGCTCCAGCAGCTGCGTGTTGGTGTACGCGGTCCGGAGCCTCCTGGAGCCGCTGGTGTCTGCCAGCCCCTGGACGTCTTAAACACATAGAAAACCGCACGTTGCAAAGAGAGGGAGCGGGGGCAAGTGGAGGGTCTGGATCCGTCCCCTCCCTGTTGCGGGCAGGGCAGAGCCGTGCCCCGCACTAACGAGCCATGAGTGTGTGGCGGGGGAGCCGCTACGGGAGAAAATAAATGTTTAATTAAACTCTTCCCACTGTGGAAGAGGGTTGGAAATCACTCTCCGGTCCCCTTGCCCCAAGGAGGAGAAAGGATTTTGCTCCCTGGCCTCTCCCTTTAGAGACCTCCCTTCTCTGCCCCCTTCGCGGACAAGGGGAATTTCGACCCATTCCTTCCCTTTTTTTTTTTTTTTCCCCTTTTGCCAGTAGTTTGGGGACGGACGCTGCGGGGCTTTGATTTCATTACTCCTCTATTATCTGGCCAATGAGCTCCGGTATCCGCCCTTCTCCTGCCCGAGTATTTACCTGAACGGTGCTATTAAAATACCGAAACAGCGAATTGTGCCTTAAACATTTTGTCCGGGGGGAAGGAGGGTCCCTGGCCAGGGCTGCTGAGCTCCCCGGCCACGGGGCGCCTCGGAGAGAGGCTGTTGCTTTATTGGAGGGCTGGGGGAAGGATTCGGAGCTGTATTTATTTTATTTTGCAGTGGGGAGCTGGCTCTCCCCACCGTGCTGGACGCTGAGAGTCCTGCTCTCGCTCTTTCCGCCTCCCCATCCTGCTGGGAGCAGCCCCCGCGTTACCCACCCGTCTTTCTTTCCTCCCTCCGCTCTCCTTTCGGGTTTGGGTTTTTTGTTTGGGTTTGGTTGGTTGGTTTTGTTGGGTTGTTTTTTTTTTTTTTTTTGTAGGCTGTAAAAAAAATTCAGGGCTGGGAGAGAAAGTCAAGCAAATGGAGCCGCGGCTCAGCTGCCCGGTCCCCCCGCTGGAGGGTTTGGTTTTGTTTGGGTTTGGTTGGTTGGTTTTGTTGGGGTTTTTTTTTTTTTTCCCCTGTAGGCTGTGTACTGCGGTGTATTTTATTGCGTTGCGT